AGGGAGGGAGGGAGGGAGGGAAAGAAATGCCTGAATATATTGCTGCATTATAATATGTTAATGCACTGTGTCTAATTTTCTGGTGCTGTTCTTAGGATAAATACAGAATTAAGTGGATGAGATTCTACGGTCTGTATTAGATAGAAGGTCAGATTTGATAATCTAATGGTTGCTTCAGACCCTAATCTGCAGATGAATCTTTGTAGAGCTGTGCTTTGCTCTGGATTTCATTCCTCCATCAATAGGCTAAGCACTTCCCCATACATTAACACTAATGAGCTTTTCAGACATTTAGAGTAAAGGGAAAAACTCAGCCTTAGTATTTGCAGTTACCAATGAGCTTGTATTACTTAAATTCATTTAGAAGATTACACTTGTGCATTTTCAAGTGGTACTTTCCTCTCATTCTTTTTACCATGGGAAAAAAAAAAAAGAAGAAATGGCATAAAAACCATTTCAAGCACTAAGTACACAGCAACACCCCAGGGTGAGCTGTGCATGTGCTCTGACCTGCCTGGGGGCACACAGAATGCATATTAAATAGCATTAAACAGTAAAAGATTGTCTAGTTCTCATCAATGACAGCACTCTTTGGAATGGCAGATGGATGAAGGGCCACATAGGAAATAGAAAGTTCGACTTCCTTTTTATTCTATCGTACTAACTTCAGTTTATTAAAACAAACAAACAAAAAAGATAAAAGGCCAATCCAGAGACTGTCTTAGAACAATGCCAAGTGTATCAAAGCCCATTTCTTCTGCAGCTGACTAACACACCTGATGCACCCTAGAAAAGCTGACCTACCTGCTTCTCCCAGAGACACAGAGTCCTGCTGGCTCTCCTCGAGGTTTGATGGCAACAGCCCCCTTGCTGAAGGAGTGGCTGATAGAAAAGCCATATTGACCCTGCTCTAGTGAAAGGCCAGGTAAGGCACCTGAGAGCCTTTAATGGAACCCTGAAAGAACCAAACTCTCCTTTGCACAAAGGACACGCTCTGTGGCACCTAGAGTCTACACAGCACCATGGAAGGTAATCATAAGAGCATTTTCAATTTAGTATTTTGAAACTATATATCAACAGTGGGTGAGCTGATGGTAATATGGTTCCTCTTCTTTTAAAGTTACAGGCAGGGCTTTTAAGCCACATAACGATTTCACTCCTGAAGCTGGTAAGGGGACCTGGAGAAATGGTTAAGTTTAAATGAGACTGGAAACACATTTGTTTAAACTAGAGACCCCCTGGCCAAGGAAAAAGTGCAAATGTGCTCACAGCTTATGAAGAAAATATACCCCACAAATTTAACCAGCCAGAGAGAAGATCCAAGGAATGGATATCTTTGAACCCATGGATGGTAAAGGACAAGACAAACAATTGGGGTCATGAACTTTTTTTCCTCCAAAGCTGTAACAGATGTGGTTACAGCAGAGTTGTGAGCATGCAGCTGCTGCCTGGACACTGATGGCTGTGCCCATGCTCATTACCAGAGGTCCCTGCTGACCCCTCAGTTCTAGAAACCGCAATAAGTAATGGTCTAAATCCACTTTGGCTGAGGACACTTTTAAGCCTAAGAGCAGTGTGGGGATGGTGATAAAGTCGTGCTCAGGTGTGTCCTCTGACAGTTCAACTTGGACTTCATCAGGCCATTAAAATTTTGGGAAGACTTCTGATAAAAGCAGCTGTTCTCCCCTGAAAGGATTGACGCCAGAGATGCTCTTAATAATGTTTTTGTTTTCCTGCAGAAGTTGTAAAGGGGGACAGAGAAGAAGCGCGTGTCAAGATCAAAGTTTTCCTTCCTTTTCTGATGCAGTAACTGAGTTGAACAGTGAAGCGACATGAGCAGTGGGCGACTTCTAAGCTCAGTGGCATTAAAAGAAGAAAAATAAAAAAGTAGTCTGGGGACACTCTGATCGCAGAAGCTTCTCATCTCTATCAGTCTCAAAGTAACAGCAAGGGAGGAAAGTCCAATACACTCTGCCCTCTGTTCAGTGGAAGGTGGGGGGGTGTGTGCAGGGAGGGCAGGAGGGTGTTTTGTGGAGAGCACTAGAGAATATGCTGACCAGAAATGCATACGCTGACCAGCTGGCCGTCATCAACCCATTACAGGCAAAGGTTATTCAAGGTAAACCAGAGTAATGAGATGGGAGGTATTTCCTTCTGGTTACTTAGGCACAGCAGGATAAAGTAATCTTTGAAGACCTTTCCAAGCTTGATGGCCAAGCAGCAAGTACAGATTTAAACACAGGGAATTTTAAAAAAAAAAATTTTTCTGAATATAGTAGTCTACTGAAAACTAGGTGCAGACATCAAGTCAATTCATAGGTACCTGCACTGAAAGCAGTTTTTTAATAGAAGTATGGAAATACTGAAATGTAACTCAAAAAGTCCATTAATTAGGTTCTGTCTCACTATGAAAATTATGGTGGAAACCCTCCACATTTACCAGGCAGGATTTTGTTTATTTCTATTGCATCGCCTGCAGCTAGTTCTGTATTACTGTGACCAGGCTCACAACCAGCCTATGCTGGGACTGCTAACATGACACTTGATCATGGCAGACTGAAGGGCAAAATTATCCAAATTAATTTAGCAAGGAATAAAGAGGATAAATATCGTGAATGGCATTTGCAGGCCCATTCCTTGCTAAATTGTTTTTTCTCTTCAATTTTGCCTTAACAAAGACTTTGCATCTGCCTTTAATTCTTCAGTTACATTCATATTTGGAGGTTTGGTTTGTGTCCTATGCTAGAACTGTACTAGTTGCTGCAGAGCTCCCCTCATCTGTGGTCCATCAACTAAAAACCAGCTGACACCTAGCTGGGTCTGTCCAGAACTGATAAAACCAGAGCTCATGTCCACCAAATTCTTCTTAACAGTATTTGTTCAGAAGAAGTGTGTATAGCAGCCTCAAAATCCACAGAAAGAAAGGTCTTCAAGTGAGAACTGTCAGACAGACAAACTATAGGTGGCACTAACGGTCCTGGTTGTGTGACATCAAGAGAGTCAGTTGTCTGAAATCTCAATTATTATCAGCTCTCCTTCCCCCAGCCCATCAATTACACCATCTCAGTTCGAGGAGGTGTTAGTTATTCAAGATACAAAATGTTTTTTAGTATTACTTTTGTTTTACCAGATGCTAAAAGGGTGGGGAATTTTTGAGCATGAGGTTACATGCAAGCATGTTTTCAATTCTGTTTTCACATGAAAGGTGTGAATAAGATTCTTGAAACCTTGATGGAGAGCCTTGAAGTTACAAACATGGTTTAGACTATTTTAAGACTTGGCTTTTACAGTTTGCATCCATAACTACCCTACTTAGTGTACATATGTGCTATACACCAAGTTCTAGATTGTATTCTTCAAAATGTTCAGCATTAGACAATAATGGGGACCAACAATTTTTCATACTTGACAGTCCAAGCATTTCTCAAATCATCACAAATAATTATTACTCTGCGCAGATTTATACAGATGACAGTCAGACAATTGTAGCTGTGCAAGTCTAAACACTGTATATAAAAGAACAATTGCATTTTCAATAAAGGGATTTTATTAAACTGACCTGAACTGCAGCATTTTTTTAAAGTAATAGCTGTGCAACTTTTCATACTTTGATTTACTTCACATTTCACGGCATATTAATTTTGACTTTACTTTTTCAAAATGTTTGAGCACTCAAATGAGGAGCATACCAAAAATTAATATTCAGAGAAAGAATATTGTGTGTCCTGAAGATGGAAATGCTTAACATCTTCCCTGAAAACCTGGGGACAGACAAACTGGAATATGAATTTGCTCCGAAAATGTCTCTATAGAGTGACTGGATAATAGAAGATAAAACCAATATTAACTTAGGAGCATTTTTACCAAGTGAGAACATTTTAGAAGCAAATTATATCCTCTGAAGGAAACTCTTGAAATATTACAAAGCTTTATTATTTTCTCCATTTCATGCATTGAACCTAGTGACCTACGGAGAAGATTAGGCTGAATACTCATTATTTTTTCAATTCTTTGTATTGCAAACCAAGATAACCTCAGTTGCCATAGCAGAGAATGCACCAGGGCTATGAAAAGAAGGATCAAAACTCTTGAAAATAAAACAGTCATACAGAGTGGTTGCTAAAACTGTATTGCCAAAAATCACAAATTGCTTCATACATTCCCTCCTTCTTCTTCTATGCACGTCTCCAACTTTGTCCCTGTGTGTCTGTGTGCACTCAGAGAAGGGCACAGCAGAGAAGAGTGAGACAATTCAGCATTACTGTGGGGACTACAATGATTTAATTAAACCCCAAACCCACATCAACTTTGGCCTTCACTCTTCTTTGACCAGGTGCTAGACAAGTACTAATTGGGTGCTAGGAAAAAAACAATACTGAACTGGGCAAAACCTGGCAACAGACACACATGCAGGCACAGATGCTGGTACTATTCTGGGACAATTTCAAAAATAGGTCATTAAGTATTGGCCTTTTCATCTTGGACAGAAAGTTAAGTACCACAGAGAGGCTAAATGATGCAAAGTCTTGAAAAATCAGAGACTGACAACAAATGGCACAGCTGTATAGAAAACCAGCTTTTTAATTAGGCTAAAACTGTCACACAACATACTGATCCAGGAAAAAAAGAACCTGCTCCCTTCCAATACCACCTTCTCTTGTATAATCCCATACATCTTCGGAAGCCTGTCCATTCCCATTCTCCCTAATAGGAACTATTTGGTATCATTACTCATACCACACACAGGGTTTGGGGCTAATAAGATAAATGTATACATCTTGTAAAGTATCTCCTCTGAACAAGGAGAGGGAAAAGCTGGAAGTCCCAAGGAAAATCATGCATAAAGGCCTATGGCCTGGCCATATCGAGGGTGAAGGATGTGCTGACATGCATGTTGCTGTTCTGAAGCTCTGGGGAAATATTCTAAAGACAGGGCAGGAAAAACCTGAAGTGACTGAGTTTAAGTGCAATACATGTAAGAGGTAAGAAATCTTCACAGAGGGCTGGAGAAGTCTTGAACTGGGAACACCTGAAGCAAGCAATCTTCATGCTGGTGGGCTTATTGGGATTTAATTTATTGGAGATGAGTTTGGAGCTTCGTGTTGCTTGTACAAAGAGCACTTTGCATTGTCCTTCCAGCAGCCAAACAAAAGGAGGGGGAGAAGGCGAATAGATGATCAATCCTTTTTTGTTGTTCTCTCACAAGAAGAAATGGATGAAACCCCAGGCTGGGACCTCAGCAGCCATGGTGGGGTGAGGGTGATGGAGTTGTGCTGCTTTCCCATGGCAGAGGCTCTGTGGTGGGACCTGACCTCTCTGCACCACTGCCACAGCTGCTCGCCACTGCTCTGGCATGAAAGGATGGCGTGTGATGAATCTCTTTGCTCCTGGCTCATTCTGTAATGCAGCAATAAATCACTTTTTGCATGAAAAAGCTAAAAGGTCTGGTTATTGTATGAGTTTAATTTTAAAATGAAAACTCTCTGCCCTTTCCCCTCCAACACAAGCACATCGACAGATGTTCACACTTGTGATGGCTGGGGCTGAGCTCGTGCTCTCCAGACCTGTGTGTGGAACCTGTAATACACAGGGACACAACCACTGTCCTTCTAACCCTCCTTTCCCAAGGAAAACTACTGTTGTCCACAGGTGCTTGGGAAAGGGCCAGGCTTGCAGAACTGTCTCCAAGTCAGCAGGGGCAGCAAACAGGGTCAAAAAGGCTACCACTTCCTATCTCACAACTGCCAGGTTACTGTTGGGGCATAGATGAAACATTAACCTGGTACAACCCAAACTCAGGGACAAGCACATGGGTTGGGAAGCTCAAAGCCAAGTGAGTGACCTATAGCTGCTGCACTCTGCTGTTACATCTTTACTGTGGGAGCTGTAGATATGATTTTCAAGGAAAGGCTTCAGAATTGGTTAGGAAAAGGCATGCCATGGACATCAGCACATGATGCACAAGGAGGAGCCCTGGGCTGGGCACACATGGAGTCAGCCAGGGTGGAGCTGGGAGTAGCCCTTAAAAAACAGAGTAAGAAACAACATTTTAACATAGCTGACATCTTGGAGACAATGGAAAAACTGACATTTGTTTCTGTGTTGCAAGGAGTTGTGGTGACCGGGGTGAGATAAACTGGGTGGAGTGAGGAAACAGGATAGAGTAGATACGTAAATACAAAAATACATAAGAAATTCCACAAGGAGGAAAAGAATAATTTGGACTCAGTCTGGTTAGGACAAGTAATAACAGAGCTAAACAAGAGCGACTCAGATACAGGATAGATGCTAACAGAAAGGTAAGATACATCTGTGCTGAAACAGAATGAGGAATGTCCAGCATTGGGAACATCCATCTGCCCAGAAAAAGGGAAAAGGACTCGAATTATCTCACCACACAGGCAGGTGTTTTCTAGCAGGTCCGTCATGCTTTGCAAATGTGGGATGGTGACTTCTGTAAGCTAAGCTCACTATCATAAATCTCAGTATTCCACACACTCCAGGAACAAGGCTTTTGGCAAACATTGCAGACCCATACAGGCAGGAGCCAGTCAGTGCTGTGAATGAAACACCCCTGAGGAAAAGGCAATATCATCCACCTCCAGGATGGGCTGAGACCAGACGGGAGCTCACACAGAAATTGTGTGAAACCCTGCACAGGACGTGGGGAGGAGATACAGGAGGTCTGAATGCCTGGAGTTGCCTGGGACATATGTGCCCTGCTCCCCTCAGCAGCTCTGACCTGGCAGCCAACATTTATGGCTTTCTTAGTAACACAAATCCTCCTCTTTTACCTCTGGGTTGCAGTTCAGGTGTCACACAGTCAAGTAGAAATACTTTTTTTTTTTTCCTCAGCAGGATATCTGCTATTTTAAGTGAATACAATTTACTCAGTCCCATGCTAAATCAGCGTAATATGTTTCCAATTTTTAACTCAGTGTGCAGCACACCCAGAGCTTTTGAAACCGAAATAGGAGAAACGGAGAGAGTTGCTGCATAGCTGGTTTCCTTACATAGAATTCATGGGCTTTAGCAACCCCCTCGAGGAGAGGGGAACCCTGCAATTATGTGTTTAGTGTGTTTAGTTCCCCAGTCCAAGCAGGCCTTTGGTTGGGACAATGGGACACTGTGGGATGTCCCTTCCCACAGTGATATTGTGATTACGGTAGCTCCTCAGAATTATATTTGGCCTCATGGTAGCATGTATCCTACAAAGGCGGCTGCTATGAGGGTTAGGAGGAGGATGACTCCAATGTTTCAGGTTTCTTTGTTTAGGTATGAGCCGTAGTAAAGTCCTTGGCCGATGTATAGGTAGATGCAGATGAAGAAGAAAGAGGCTCCGTTTGCATGGAGGTTATGGATGAGTCAGCCGAATTGTACGACTCGGCATATGTGAGCAACAGAGGAGAAGGCCAGATTGGTGTCTGCTGAGTAGTGCATAGCTAGCAGAAGGCCTGTGACGATTTCGGTAATTAAGCAAACGCCCAGTAGGGACCTGAAGTTTCATCATGTTGAGATGTTTGATGGTGCTGGGAGGTCGATTAGGGCATTGATGATTTTGAGGATTTGCTGGTTTTTACGAAGGTTGAGGGCCATTGGTTGTTTCTGTATGAGGATGCGAGGATGATGAGAATATCTCTGAGCTGGTCAGGTGAATGCTACTCCTGTGGGTCAGGGATGCAGGTTCAGGCCTTCACTAAGAAATGCTGTACTGTTATTTTTAAGGTAAGAGGCTGGAAGTAGAAATGCTGATGCCTGCCATGTGTAACCTTGCTGTAAGGTCTACCCTGTGAGCCCTGCTTCTGTCTAACTGGATGGTGCCAAGGTCCAGAGAAGACAGGGAGGAGAGCTAATTTCACCGTCCCAGAAGGTCAATGTCAGAAACAAGAACAGATTGCATCTCCTATCTCAATATGGCTCTTTTTTCTTGTAATGATCTGGATGAATTCATCCTGGCACAGACTGGCAAAACACCTAAACCCTTTGGGTAATGATTTTCTTCTCCTTGATTAAACTATCACAAATTAACGTTAAGTTTATTTTACTTTCTCTTAGTAAGGTTATATTGTGCTCAGACTACACCTTGCTAAGGTAACTTTTTCTGGCATTGTTGACTGTGCTGCTCAGTAATGCTCACAGAAAGTGACTAACCAGGGTTGCTCATTCTCCATGGCCTTAATTACAGTTAACTGGAAACTTTTCACCTTTCTGCTGCTGTTCAAAAAGAATTAGATGACCTCCTGCTTGAAAAAACAAAAGGCCTCTTATACTAAAATGCTAGGATTCATTTATAATCTTAATTACAACAGGCTTCCCAGGAAACTTTCCTGCTGCAGAATGTAGCACGGAAATTACAGGTTAGCACAAAAAGCCTGCCTCATCAATGGCTTCCTAAGTCTGATTTATTCTTTATTGAGATAAACACCAGTGACTCCAATCCTGAGGGATGCTCAGTCCCAAACAAGCCAGCCAGCAGTCCTTTAGCCCAACTATAATTCTGTCACGATTAGGCCCAAAGGAATATCAAGACAAAAGTCAGAAAATGAACCATAACACAGAAGAGGAAATAATTTGCTTTTTCAATGTTTTCTGTTTCTGTTGAAACCCTCAGCTGTTTCAGTCTTTGTACACCAAAACAAACCCACTCCCATAGCCAACCACAAGTTATTCTACCCCAGGTTGGCTGGGAGGCAAAGAGCACATCCATAAGTCTGCTTTCCCTGTTGGTCCCTGACACCTCTTCCCAAATGCCAACATGCTCCACCCACTGTGTCTGCTCTACACAGACAACATCCAACATTCTCTGGATCCAACCACCAGGGCTTTGCTGGAAAATTCCAGTCCTCCTGGGTTCCTCAGCACAGAAATAAAAGAACAGAAAATGCACCTAGGTAATCTTCCTTAAAGATTGGTTCCATTCTTGCTACATTAATTCTTCTTATGTCAGAGCATGAGGATAATGTTAAAAGTTGCTTTTGTCAGCCATTCAAGACAACTGGAAGGTACGAATATTAGTATGATGCCTTATTCATTTTCCTCTAACACCTCTACAGCTGTGTTTACTGTGATTTCTAAGAGTTCTCTGTCTCATCTAATAACAGATCTATTTATGGACTGCGTACTAAATGTCGTTTTACAATAAAAGAACAAATTCTTAGCGTTTCTTTAAATGGCAGTTATTTTTTTCAAACTGTTACCTCAACTACAGTCTGAAAGAAATTGCACATCATCTTCTTTTCCTTTTTTAAAATGCTCATTCTTTTAAAAATCCCCAAAGAAAATGAGCAGAAAAGGTCCCTCTGAGCTCAGGCTTCTGGGATCCTTCTCTGGCTGCAGCCAAGTGCTGTCTCCTCGCCCTCTGCTCCTTTCAGAGATCCTGAAGGCATGCCAGCCTCTCATCAGTTCCATCTCTATCTAGCGAAAGGGCTGGCTCCCTCTTCCTTGCTCTTATACCCTTGTCATCTGTTTTATCCCACCTGCAGTTAAAGCATGCCAGCAAAGATGGGAAGAAAACAGAGCTCCAGGACTGAGTTTTCAGCCAGCTCTCGCTCTGCATGCAAAGCCCCCTGGAGCAGGTCCCTGCGTCCCTTGAGCTAACAAGCCTACAGCACCAGGCAGGGACCTTGGCGAGCGCGGAGGACATGGAAAGATCGGGAAGCTCCCCCCTGTCCCTGAGCAGCGAGGCAACACGGAGAGCTGCCAACCCGCAGCCCGAAGAGACGTGGTCCGACAGCCAGCAGTGAGTTGAAGCATTCAGCTGCAGGGCGAGCGGAGCCAAGAGTGTGTGCTCCGTGAGGCTCTGTGGCAAAGCGCCCATGTGCTCCATGGAACCATGCCTGCTGCTGCTTTGGGGAAAAGGGCAGCTCTGTCCCACACACAGCCTGGCCTGTTCTGCCTTCGCAGGCTCCTTGGTGGCACAGGGTGAGCTTGGCCTGCAGCTGCTCACAGCGGCGTCAGCTCCATCTCAGCTCAGGTAGGACACAGAGTCTGGCAGTTCACATTCACTGTGCCTCTTGTTGTTGTTGTCAGCTACCCCTGACTTCTGCTTGCCCACCCTTACCAGTCTGTTATGGTTCCCAGGACTTTTGCTTTCATAAGCTGCTTATTTTCTCTTTGATGAACAACAATGCCAAGTTAGGAAGGAATGCATGCATCTCCCTCAGCACATACCTATGGATACTAGTATATGCATCCCTACCCACATCCCAAGCAGTAAGCACCTAGATGGCACAAGCAATTATGTGGGTCACAGACCAGGGCTGATGAATGCTCCCAGGCTGTCCTGAAGCACTGAAACACATTCTGATGTATAAATAGGTAGGATTGAAAAATTCAGTGGCAAAGTGGAGGGAAAAACACACTTGTCACTGATTTTTCTTAGTAGGGTGGTGTGAGAAGCATCCATGGTGCCTACTCAGTCAGTACCTGAAACTGCTGCCACCTCCCTGATGATTTCAGTCAAGCCATCAGCAGAGATGTCTGATGGCTCCTGAGAAATACTGGCAGTAGATTATGTTCTGGTGTACTGAATAGAGGTTGTCCTTCTCCAGAGCTGCCAGGTGACATAGACTTCACCAGCAGAGAAAAGTGACAAGTTCACATAATGTAGGAAGAACTGATATTCCTGACAGAAGTAGTTTAAATTACAGTTTCTTGCTAAGAGAACTGTCATTTTAGACACTCGCAGGAGCTTTCACCCACTGGATCCATGAATGAAAAGCTCAAAGTTTCTCCTCCAACCCACAGCATTGCCTGCTGCAGGACCTGTCTTCCCAAGGCAGGGAGAGCTGCCAATGCTCCGTGCCCTTCAGCTGATAGGGATGCTTCCATGGCACAAATGTCTCCACAAACACTCTGATAATGAACAGTGGATTTTCCTCTTTGAACGTATCCTGTCTTTTATGAGATATGTCAGCACAGCTGACCTAGGGATTAACAAGGACATCCAAACTGCTTTCAACCATCTTAGTTTTGCATTTCAAATATAAAACTGATTTCATGAAAGTCTGTTTATCATATTGTTTCTAAATTCCTTCTGATGGTTGATCCTAGCTGGAGCACGTCACTGCATGAAGGCCCACTTGTAAGGACCATACTTAAACACTTTTGATCTGGTGTTTGCAACTTTATATCCAATCCTGCAATCTATCCCATGTGTATCTTCCGCTGATGTGTATCCCAGCCAGCACGATCAGGGAAGTCTCACAAAGCCTCTTCCCAACTTCTCCCGTTTTTAGAGATACTCGCTTCCTGCTTCATGACCTAACTTTATCTCTGGCTTTGTTTAAAAAAACTTTGTTCACAGGGGAAAGCAGTACATAGGATTCACTGCTTCCAGGAACAAACTGCAATTTCATTCAATTTATTCTGCTTTCCCAGGCACTGTCTTACTCCAGCTCTCCCATCACCTCTCTTTATGCACCTGCAATTCCAAGACCATAACTTCAGTCCTTCTCCCCAGAGCCCTTCAGAAGTGGTTATGGCCTCTTAACTCATCAACACCACCATGTCCACTCAACCCCTGGCTAATGCGATAGAGGGTCAAAGGTAATCCCAGTTATTTTAAAGTTAGCACTAACTCTTCCTTCCACCTGAGCTTCTTTTCCACTTCTGCTTCTCACTGCTCTTCCCTCTCTTTCCTTGACTGTTCTCCATTTAACAACCCCTTTTGCAAGCTGCCCTTAACATCACTGGAGCTCAAGTTAATCTTTCAAACCCATGGAAGGCCTGGGAGAAGAGCAGGGGAGATGCAAATGTTTTCAAAGGAAGACACGGATGTTAAACAGAATGAGTAGAAGGCTGCCCCAAAACACAGGTATTCTTAGGAGACTGAGATAAAGCAACTACCATACCCTGCTACTTTAAACCTGATGCAGAACATCTGCTCCTGTTTTGCTTTTCATGATTCATGCCCTCTTGTCTGCAACTCTGGAGAGAGAAGGACCACCTAAGCAGAGACAAACTGCTGGTTCAGTCGACTTTTTCCAGGAGGAGAAAACACTTGCCAAGATAACCTGAACTACTCAACAGACAGCTAAGCTATGAAGAGCCTGCACATAAGTGTAACAATACTTTTTGTTCCATCTTCATCCGTTGTAGACAGGACTGTGCCCTCCCATCCTCTGGACCCTGCTTAGTTTTTGGGGATCAACTGAGATCAGTAAATCTCAGGGCCACAACTGCTGCCTCAAAGTGCAGCTTGTCAGAAGTACTATGAGATCTCTCAGCTTCCTGTGGTGAGCAGTGGAGCAGACGTGAGTCCACAAAAATATGGGCATATTTTAGCTATGACCAGCCTCTTTAGGGACTGAAGGCAACAGACATTTGTTCAATGGGAATAAATGCTTATTCCCAAATAAAGCTCAGATAAACTGCAGAGGGATCTATCTGCAGGTGCTAGTAGGATGGATAACTTCTCCTGAGGCTGCACCTGGAACCACTATTGCAGATCAAGGTCTGGGATAAAAATAACACTCAGTACTTATCTGGTATTTTTTCAATCTACAACCTTTAAAGCATCATCCTCACTTTCCAGACGTGAAAAGCCAGCCACAAAGAACCAGTTCAGTTTTGCTGCATTCTTCTACCATCTTCACAAGCTGAACCTTGTCCTCTTCCAACACTGTCCAAGTGCAACTGACAGGCTCGAGACACAGCAACCTAATGCTATCAGCACTTTAAATTTTTTGCCATCTTGCCTTTTTCTTAAGAAGGGAAATGGGATTTATTTTTCAGCACTGGTTCCTGGTACTGCTCTGGGAAAATTTCAGAACAAGATATATCTCCAAATATTTGTCCCCCCTGAGGTTTCTAGTCCTTTCTTCTACAGACAGGCTAAGTAAATGGTTTAAACTGGAGATTCAAGATACAGATTGAGAAACTGTGGCAGTAAAGAATGCTGGAATCAGTTGATTACAGATATTCAAAACATTCAGTTTAGGCTTACACTTTTCCCTCCTAGTCATTTCTTCTCTGAACAGCATTGGGGAGATTCACTTTTGGATGTAAATTCCATAGCAACTCAGTGTCTACAAGAAATCAGTAACAGACATTTGGCACTGCCCATTCCAAAAATTTAGCATGGTCTGCAGTAATGCATTTAGCTTTCTGTTTATCAAAACAACTATCTTAAATGCCACTGAGATCTCACAGAAAATCATCAGAGTTAAGTACAGTCAGAGTACTCCAAGACATACCAGAATTTTAAAAAATCACTTGAAGTACAAAATAGAAGAGTTGCATGTGTTGGTCTCATTTTTGATTTAATAGTAAGAGTTTTCTACAGCCCCAAAAATCAACCTGTATGTTACTGAAAAGGAAAACCAAACCATAAAGTTTACTGATCTATAAAGCCCACAGCTAAAAAAAGAAATTAGATTTTTTTATTTTTTTTAAATACTGGTTCAGTGCAGACAAGAGAAAGGTGAGAAGCAAACAGTTTATCTGGAATAGGTGGACAATATTAAGCCAACCAGTCCAATTTGGAGAAGTAGCATCAAGAAGCTGGTTAGTGGGTAGAGCTTAAATGAAGTACTACAGATCTACCTACCTGTTTGAGCCAACCACAACTTACTCATTGGTACTAAAAATAACTAGAAACACAGCAGAGAAGATGAAGGAAAATGTGAAAGAAAGTAAGCAGTCGGAGCAATTCCATTAAAAAACTTCCAAACAGTAACAAAACCACAGCCTGCCTGGGAACAGCCCTCTGGGTGTGAATGGCATCTGCTAAAGCAGCCTGGTATGTCCACATCAGTGCAAAGACAAATGAATGGTCTAAAATGTCTATCCATGGATGACAAGAGAAAAGACAACATTGGTAAAGTTGTTCCTTCCGAGGAAGCAAGTGAAATCAGAGCCTGGCACTGGTGTTAGACAGTGAAGGGGAAGGAATACAGAGAAGGAAACAAAAATGACACTCAGTAAAAATACTGCTCCTATGTCTCTGGGCTGAAGAGCTTCCTTGGAGAAGGAAGAAAACTTGCTTTTGATGGCAGAGGATGATATGTCTCTGGGACAAGAGAGGAAAGGAAAACAGAAAAGTCTGTGATAGATAAAAACTACTAAACAAAAGAGACTACTTGGGGAATTAATCTTTATGAAATGCAAAGAAGATTGTAGTAAATAAGAGATAACACAAATTTAGTAAAAGGAGAGTTGTTCTGAATTA